AGAATAGAAAGCGAGTTATCCGAAGAGCAAAATTGGTTTAGAAAGGGAATAGGAACTAGGGACACTATATCTGTACAGTAATTGGTTTGAGAATTTTGAGTGAAAGGCTTTAGAAGTCCATAGGAGTTTGTATACAGGTATCTGCTTTATTGATTCTGAAAAAGCTTTTGATAAAGTAAAGCACAATAAACATATAGAGATCTCTACTGGCAACAGGAGGCTGCAGTGTTAGTATATAATGAAAACTTATTTATTGGTTCACAGTCTAGACAGGGACTAAGACAGGTCTGTGTTCTATCTCCAACATTGTATAATATATATTCAGAATTATTATTGAGAGTAGTTTAAAGTGACAATGAAGGACTAAAAGTTAATGGTATATTAATATAAAATAAATGCTATGCAGATGATACTGCTTTTATCACAGATAGTGAAGAAACATTACTAAAACTCATCAACAGATTAGTGGAAAAATGTGGTTTAAGAGTTAATGCTGTTAAGACTGAAATAATGGTTGTTTCTAAATTGGAAATAAATCCTCAAATAAAAATTATGGTGGGCAACAGGGAATTTAAACAAGTGGAAAATTTTATGTATTTGGGAAGTAACATTAGCTGTGATGATAGATGTGTGGAAGAAATCAAAACAAGAATGGGGCAAGCAAAAACAGCATTGAATAATCTAAAAGACCTAATGAAAGGGGGACATTAATTTGAATTTGAGAAAAAGACTGCTGAAAGTTTTATATGGCAAGGACTGATGTATGGGAGAGAAGTGTAGATACTTTCTGCAGACACCAGAATGAGGTTAGAGGCCTTTGAAATGTGGTGTTACAGGCAAATGCTTAGAATAAGCTACATTGACAGGAAAGCAAATGAAAAAGTACTGAACTAAAATGCAGCATAAACTTCAGGAGAAGTATTTGAAATGTACAGAAAAATAAGAATGAGATATGGTATTTTCTCAATTTAACGAACTAATTCGAGCCACCCCTTTCCGTTAAATCGAAATTTCCGCTAAATCGAATTTCCGTTATTTTTGCTCGATTTAGCAAACTAGTTCACTAAATCGAGTGTGATACCGTTAAATTCTGCCGCTTGGAGCGTGAGATTTGTTTACATCTGCTCAGTCTGTGTCCCGCCGCCACCACGGGCGTTGTTCACTGTTACCTCTCGGTGAGTGTCTAGGTCAACTAACTACTGTGCTTAAACATCACACTGTAAGTCTCTCAGAAGTCTCAGAAAGGAAGTGGTGTGAAGGAAAAAGCCAAAAGAGTGCAGCTATCAATAGGAAAAAAGTTTGGAAATAATAGAAAAAATTAAACCAATCACCGAACCCCCTAGTTTAAAGTAAACCATGAATAATGTTTCTAATGTCTCTATGTACAGTAGCTTAAACAACTATCTGTGCATACTTTGTGGGAAACAATATGAGACTGTGGATGATAAATTTTGGTATATGAGGGCTGTCACTAGTCACACATAAAATTTTGAAGCATATCGACCACCACCTGCACAGATAGTTGTTTTAGCTACTGCACATATCATGTGTCTGAGGTGTCTCCGTAGGTGTGAGTGTATTAAAGGAATAAATCTCGATTTAGCGAACTAGGTCACTAAATTGAGCGAAAAATAACAGAAAAAATTCCTTCCGCTAAATCGAGTTCGTAATATCGGATTCCGTTAAAGCGAGAGTACAGTATACTGTACTTTGGTCATATAATAATGAGGGACAAGGGAATAATAACAGAAATATAAATGGGCAAAGTTGAGGGTAGGAGGGACGAAGGAAGGCAGAGACTGGGGTGGATGAATGAAATTAAAAACTGGGTCCCCAGAGAGATACAAAACATTAGAGGATTGATAAAAACAGCCTGAGAACATTTAGAGTGGATATGAGGACAGTACTCTGATTGAATATTAATCCAAAACTAAGTTTTAAACCCAAAGGAACAAAAGCTTCCTTTATATGGCTGAAGGTACTCAAACTGAGTAAGTCTATACGAGGGTTTCAACTCTTGACTTGAAGGCTCACTAGTATTCGAGATTAAAGGGTGACAAAATGCTGCTTATAATAAGCACAACTGACCTTACCTATCTGGATGGTGCATTTTGCCAAAAATATGTCAACACCTTAGGTAATAAGCAGGCTCAGGCAGATGGTTTTAGCATTATGGATCTCACAAATAACTCAATGACCTGTAAATAAAAAAATGGTACTGAAATCAGATATGTACTAACAAACAGCACATTCATTAAGGAGCAACTTAAAACACATTACCATAAAACACACAATCAGTATACAATTAAAAACATAAAAATATGAGAAAACCTGGCAATATATAAGGGTCACACTTTTAGATATTTTAACATTAGAGTAATGAGAATATGAGACTTCAGTAATACTCCATTTGGGTAAATGCTGTGTTATTAATATGGCAAAAATATGAAATAAAGCGACAAGCTCTATATCAACAATAAACCTCCATCCTTACAACATCTTCTTACATATAGTGTATACACATTACACAACAGGGAAACACTGGAACTTTTCTTAACAACACAGTACAAACAACAATCTAATACAGTATAATCTGTCATGACCATGAATTAAACTTACTCCAATTCCCTAACTACCACATACCCAAATAAAGTTACACAAATGAAATATTAGGTTTCCTTGTAACTTCCATACTGTATCAGAGGTAGTATTTTACAAACATTCAAGGCAATGATTGGACAATGTCTTATTTGTGACTAGTTGCAAGAAACAATAATGAGAGAATGTGGCACATTACTGGAAGGATAGAGCGCAGTACTGTACTCGTTCATGAACGGAAGTTAGCAGTATAATACCTTATTTAAAAGAAGAACAACAATCTGCTGTTTGGAAGCAAATGGAAACATACTCCTGGCATCCTCTGATATATTAAGAGATAATCAATTTTCCCATCTAATCTGACACCTTGGCAAATCAACATACACCAGCCCTATAATAAAATACATATAGTATCTTCATCAATGTGCTAAATAGTGAAACTTCTCTTGATTATTATAATAGAATATGCTTTGTATTTGTGCATAAACTCTAACTAGTGCGAATTCCTTAATTCAAATAAATGCAACAAGACTAAATCTTTCAAATCTGTTGAGGTTATAAACAGTGGGATAAGTATACCTTAGCAGGGTATTGTACAGACAGCTGCCAACTGTAAAACAAACCTTAGTGTACAGTACAGTACCTTAAAATATAATGACGACATATAAACATGGTTTGAATCTGAGGTGATAAGTAGGTTACTTGTATAACAAAAACTCTCTTGAGTCCTTCTACAACCACATCAAACTTTACTATTACATTTGTAAAAAATATGAACCTGTTAGCTATGTCCAATGTTTCCTTTGTATTTTAGCACTATTACATACACACTATCATAGATCTTTACAATTCACTAAACAATCATATTAAAGACAGATGACACAAGTATCTGCAATTAGCTATCGCAACCCAGTTATGGACAGACAATATGAAATCATTTTCAATTACCGTAACTGCACAATATTAAACTTGATACATACAAATTACAAGGGTGGTCTTATAAAGATATATATTAAAGGATGTTCTCTGTAAACCTACGTATGTAAAACACCTTAGGCAATAAAAAAAGGCACTCAGTACCAACATATTACACAAGTTAATAATACACATTTGTTAAAGTATAATGGCTACAAAATACAATAATTAAATAAATTTTGTCTCATTTTAGTCATATCTCACTTGGTGAGATTCCCAATTACATACTGTACAGTACAGTATTAGGACAATAAAAATGTACTTCATGACAGACAGCTTAGCAAAGCACTATCAGGGTACAAACATAAGAGCATTTACTGTAAATGCAAAGACATACACAACACATTATTTCTTAATATGCATTAGCAAATTTATAAATATAATTTTGAGAACTACAATACAGGACATTACATATTTACATAAAATAAACACGTCTATTAAGACGAATCACAAGCTACTGTATAAAAATCAATGTTAATCCCAAAATGGGGATAGCTTTCACAAAGGAAAATGTTAATAAGAAGAGACTATCAACCACTCAATCACAACAATTTCATCATGTCTAAGAATCATAATAAACCTGCAGCATCTGTGTCTCTGAGATGAGAGTAACCAATGTTAATTAAATAATTTGAAACAAACTTAAAATACATGAGCATTAGCCATGGTGGTATTATTTTCTTTCTCAACTACAGAATTAAGCATAAGTAAACAAAAACTTATATCAAATATAATCAGTTTTTCATTCTTGTATACCTTTCCATGGTAGAATCAAGAGCATTCACACTCTCTTCCTTCATTCTTACTCATATGTTCTGTTAAGGTATTCCCTTCCAAGTTAACCATCTGGGTCATCCTTGTCACTTCACTTCACACAACCTTAATATATTATCAGCAGGATGTCCTACCCTAAAAACTACTTTGTGCTGATTCATAAACTCTGCTGCTTCTTTTTTTTTTTTATGGGGAATAGCCCACCCGGGCACAGGTCATCGGGGCCTAGGTGGCGAAAAAATAAGAATAAAAAGAAATTAAAAATAGGAAAGGAAAAGGTTATATTAAGCTACACCACGAAAACGCCGGAAAACCAGCATTTTAAAGTGAGACAGATTGTATGAGTATGTAAACACAGAAGAAGGCAGAGCATTCCACAGTTTGGCTGTGTGAGGAAAGAAGGATGTACTAAAACGGGTTATTCTAGTGTGACCGGCATCCACAGAGAAATGATCGGCACCGCGGGCAAGACGTGTGTTACGAGCCCACGGCATTGCCAGCAGACACAGGATGCCAAATCCACTGAGCATTGCCCATTAAATTACCTGTAAAAGAGAGAGAGAGTGAAGCATCATTGCAGCGAAGAGAAAGGGAAGAAAGATTGTCTACTAAAGGAGGCGAGTTAATAAGACGAAATGCCTTTGATTCCACCCTATCTAACAGTTGGACAGAAAAAGAGCCACCCCAAATATGAGAGCAGTACTCCAAGTTAGGACGAATGAATCCCTTATATACTTGAAGTAACTGCTTAGGAGTGAAGTAGCTACAGCATCTGTTCAGCATTCCTAGCTTTCGGAAGGCAGCTTTAGCCACTGCGGCCCCAGGGATGTTTCTAGAGGGTCAATATATATTTTTTCTCACTTCTTTTTTATTGTTTTATCATTTGAAAAGTTGATTTTTCTGAATTTAACCCGTGAGGGGGTAACGGCCAGCGGCACTCTAGCCCGGGGCGTAGAGGTTAAAGATTTATAAATAGTACTTCAAAACAGATGAATTGTGAATAAAAATAGACTCCAACACTTCTTCCTAGTAGTAGGAGGGAGTGGGAGGATATCCTGTCACATAAAGAAAATAGGAATTAATATAAATTACATAATCACAATCATAAGGCCAACACTGAATGCATGCTGAAAAAGGTGCACCATTTTGAGTGGTGCCTTTATGAGCCAACTTTTCATTTACCTAAGGAGTAAATTTGTGTATTTTATGAATAATGTGATGGGGCAGTGTCCAGCACTGTACTCTAATGCCTCTCATTCTCCTAACTGTAAAGTCAAGTACCTGTACCCATTCTACAACTGGATTAACTGAGGTGCCCCGCTTAGTAGCCAGGTGCAGGAATGAGCTGGCAATTGTTGGGTCAGAAGATGTGTGCTTTATCCCCTTGGCAGCCATGATCCTACATCTACTGTATTGTAAGTATTAAATTTTAATAAGTATCTAATATCATGTTATGAATTTCATTTCATTTTGATATACAGCAAAATACAACTGTCCTGTATATGTACAAGGAGTGAGGGAAGTGGTAACTATGTGTCATCACTTATTTGCGTACAGGGATGTTAACGTTTGCTGTGAGCAAACTGGGATGGGGCAGGCAGCGCTTAATTTCATCGAGGGGAGAGGATGATCTCCCAAGATTGTTTAATATTTTTAATTATGAACCCTACTATGGCCACCCTATTAGGGTGAAGTTTTGAAACTCTATTATAATGAGCTTCATGACATACAACAATATTTTGAGAATGTCATTTTTATACTGATAAATGGGTTGACAACAGCAGATATCAAACTTAATTTAGTTTTTAAAATACAAAGCTCCATGAAAAAATTTTTGTGATCGGTGTAAACCTTCCATAACAATTTACCAGAAACCAATGACAAGACATCCTTTCATGCAGTATTTCTTAAGTTAATAAGGGAACATAACCCATAAAAAATTGAGACATTGGGTCAATAACAAGCTTTGGTTACTCCTTACAAATACTGTAGTAGCGGTAAGCTCAATCTAAAATTTAACCGGGATTCACGAAAGCATTTTATAGTTAAATTGCAGAAACAATTGAATAAACATTTATATGAACTTCACTAGTCAATAAAAACCATAACTTGCTAAAAAACCTTATTAACAACTGTTGATATAAAAATTTAAATAGCTTTTATGAACATCAAGTTCCCTGAAATATGTAGCAGAGGTACATGCGAGTGTTCTCTCATCACTGAACGTTATCTAGTTACAGATAACAGATGGATGGACGTGGGCAGTACTAAATGCTCTTTTAATGAAAGTACCAAAGCATTTAAAAATTCATTATAAAAAGTCCTGGAAAGAATTAGGCTTAAAAAATATAGATGGGAAAATACATACACATGTAGTACTAAACAAAGTGATTCAATCGCTGGTAACCCCAAAGAATCGCTAATATATCAGATATATATGATATACAGCATTGGTACTCTGTGTATTTTTAGTAAAGTTTTTGATGATACATTCTCAAGTGTTCCTCTGTCTCTCTTGCTCATAGTCCTATAAAAAATGGTTATACAGAATTAGTGAAACTCTAGGGCTACCAGTGAGTGAATCACCCTACATATGAAGAGCATCTATAAAAATATTTTGTTTTGGGGCAAGACACACATACTGTACTTGTAGTCATGCAATGACTTTCCAAGCAGTACTTTAAGAGGATCATGAAGATCAAAATATTAATCATTCCCTAAAGAAGATACAAGGAACTGATATATAACCTTGGAATTTCAAACACAGTACATGTACTTTCTGCTTCCTAGGTACACAGTTTATGATCATTACATGTGCTATAAAAATGTACTGTAAAGCATTGTTAAATAAATATAGATTCAACTATCCAAAGTGTGATTCTTTGATGTATAATTGTACTGTTTCCTAGTGATAACAATCTAACACAAATTTAGAACACATACCTTTCTGAAGATAAAGAATTAGCTTACCGCAATTAAGAGCAAACAGCAAGTGCAGAAAATGACATCTTCTACTTGTAACTACCAAATATATAGCCTATTTGGTAGTGTCACTGAATTATCCAATACAAATTCCTTTTAACCTTAAACAGTAGTCTCCTGGTGAATTGTGGTCGTTGGCTTACTTGGAGAGAGAGGGACAGCGGCTTCATCATCCAGACTTCTGGCACTTCCCCGAAAGCTTCCTGCATAACCGTTACTTATGGTTCCATTAATTGGACCAGTACGAGAGGTCTTGTTAGGAAGCATTGTAGGAAAAAGGGTTACGGTGAGATAGATCAGTAGGCATACCCAACTTGAACTCATTTTGATCCAGACAGCAGACCATGAACGACCAAATGTTATCAGCCGTGCAGTGGATGGCGTATACCAGTCTGTTAGACTCATCATTAAGTAGAGAGTAGCAAGGCCAAGCATGATATGAAACAAAGGATAGCTGTAGGCTAAATCATTGCTTTCATTACGTATTACTTTCTGCCCTCCTACGTCCTCAACATCGTGGCGCTGAACACTCTGACGCGATGGACAACTGGGAAATTCAATAGCCTGACAGTTATCAGGGGTAGCGGTACCAATGGCTGAATACACAACCAAGAAGAAAGTAAGAATCAGACTCACATAGGGAAGGACTTCATCTGCCCATGACTCTTCTTTACCATTTGGACCACAATAATACTCCTGCTCTGGTAAAAGTATATTTGACCTGACATCATGTCCTGCACCAATCCAGATCCCAAGCTTCTCCCCTACGTCAATTTTTTGGAATTTACGGGGAGCACTTCCAATAGCAGTCCAGGTGAGGTATATGACATAAAGTGAAATGAGAGAGGAGTGGAGAAGCCGAAGACGAACATCTTTGGGTCCTGAAATAAAATACAGTATGTAATGGCCATTATCTATGGGGAAAAAAATTTAGTTTCAAGTAATCTGTCACAAAACATGAAGTGATCAAATTAAAAAAATGAGAATAATGAAACTTTGTTAAAGCTGCAGTAAAGGTAACAATGTTGAGGAAAATAAATAGGACTATAAGAAAAGATTGGTGAATGGAGTAATACTCTTGAGGGAAAAAATAGGTAAAGTACAAAGAAAGATGACAACTTTGTAAATCTCCAACTATTACATCAACCCTGCCAGTTGAAAATAAGAGACAGAATAAACCCTCACAGAACATTCCCCACTTCTTTAATACCTGCTCATATAAACCTCATTTCCAAAGTTAGATGCACTATAAGTATTCCTATGTGTCACATTGTTTCTAACTTGCCCAAAACATATTAGGACAATTGGTTTTATTTATCACAAGCAGTTTTATTAAGTTTCAGCTGTATTAGAGTAAGACAATTTCATGTACAAATCTCACCTGGTTTAGCTACAGTTACTACCGACACAAAAACACAGGCAGCAGCATTGATGAGTATAAACCATCGGTTACGATTGCAGCCTTCAGTGGCAGCGAAGAAATAATACAGGAGGCACACAGAACCAGCAAATACAATGTATATAAAGACTGTTGCTGTCACGGCAAACACTGAGGGAAAATGGGAAATTATACAAAATCAGTATCTAATAAAAAAAACTAATAATTATCCACCCATTCAAGCATGCAATTACTGCTTTCTAGTGAATACACACAATAAGCCTTTGATTTATGCAGTTACTTTCTTTTGATGAGCTTCATAAAAGTGAAAAGAGTATAAATCAATGGCTAAGGAACTACAGTACTGTGTCTCAAACATAAAAAAATATAGTTTTATGCTTGTTCTTGTGACTGTAGTAATAACGTCTCACAGGTAGAAGCACTTCCTTTAGTAATATGGAAAGTCACAAAGAGTATAGTTTTGCTCAAAAGTATGTGTTGCATTATAGTGAAATAAACATGACAGTATCTGCATAAGTCAGGGGATTAATATACAGTGTAATGAAAACAAATTAATGCAATGTATTAAAAAAACAAATATTATCATCTAAGAAAATGGTAATTTATAGATCAAAGAGATTATACGATATTGTATGTTAGGGATGAATTCAGAGATAACATATACAATATTGTATGTTAGGGATGAATTCAGAGATAATATTTTATAAAACATATCTATAGCTCTATAGGGTAAATGACATACTGTACAGTACAGGTACATAGTTTCTTGTAGAAACAAGTCTATAACTATTAATATGAAAGCTTTACAGCAAAATAAAATACAAGCTAAATTGTGAGTAAATCAGCAAATTACAAATTATATTAGTATAGCATTTCATTCTTATATATATTCTGTACTCTATTAACACATAATGTCTAACACTACCTGAGCATCTAGTCAGGTCTTGCATTCTCATGTAAAATTTGAGTAAATAAAGGATTGATCTTTATATCCCCTTTTTTGGTGGAACCCACAGCCAACTGACCCCACAGTGTTAGCAAGGGTTGATTTGTAAATCACCTTTGCCTCTCTCTAGGGCTAAAACATTGAGTGTAATGTGCAGGTCTAATGACAACAAATGGGGGATTATTTCAGAGCATTTTTCAGCCCATGGCTATCCAAAACTCATATACTGGTTCTTTGGAAACAACCCACCTAGAGCAAGTCTTGGTCCTAGCAATTCAAGAAACCATAAAATATGTGGACTGGGATCTGTAGTTTGTGTCAAAAGGGTAAATAAATGCCACTGCTAAGACTAGCCACTTCTAACCTGCTAATCATATGATAACACCCAGAACTGCAGCTGACACTAACAGATCCCTGAGAGTCTAAAATGTGGTGAACACTAAAGTTTGTGTAAAATGTATGCAACTGTCTGAAGTGCTATCCTCTTTGGCTGTCAGTTAGCAACTGAACTTTAAGACAGTGGACTAGCCAGAAATTAAAATGGTAGACAATGTGCTTTGGTGTGTCGGTTACTGACTGGTTAGACTTTGCTCTAATGTGATCTCACAGTCTCTAAAGGGCAGCCACTACACCAAGTTACCCTTGGCTCAGAAGAAAACTGACCCCTACTGAGTCAGCCTACATTACAAAAGCTGCCTTGCTATGGGTGTCATCCCGAAAAGGTTGCTTTGACTAATTTTGTTTTCAAATAAAACATACAGCAAATAAATAAGGAGAGGAATGTCAAATCAGGCACGTACCTCCATACCAACAGATTGAAGAACCACCGTTATTAACACGGGCAACAAGCTTATCAGTCCAGGAGTGGAAGAGAAATACCAACAACAAAAGCTGGATGACAATGAATAAACCTGCACCACTCATTGCTGTATACATCCACACTGAAAAATAAAAATTAATTAAAGTATCATCACGTAAAAAAACTTTGTAAGTACTGTATTACTATCTTTAAAATATTCTCAAAATAAGATTATGGGATACCATGTCAAAAGAGTATCACACTTATCTATCAAATGGAATGTCAAGGCCTTAGTGACCTAAACATACATAGTTCATGGCAAAACACAGTTATATTAATGATCTATTGCTTGCATCAATTAACCTGCTATGTACAACTACTGTACACCTTAAACTTTTCTCAATGTGTATTCACAAGCACCAATACTGTACTGTACTCTAACAAAATAAAGTAAATGTAAGAATCTTTTACCATTGATGAACAAGTCATTTGGATCTGGTATGAAGAAGGAACCAAAGCAGAAAAACATCAGCAACAGGAACTTGTAAAACCACATTCCATTGTGGAGTCCAGCACGACAGTCTCGGCTGCTTTTAACACCTGAGGAAGATTTTTCAAATTTGTATAATAAATAAAACAATAATTAAACAAATTATTTTCAGAACTTCAATTCTAAGTTTTCTGTCAAACTGTAAAACTTCAGAGTGTGTAAAAGTTGGAACCCATATTAGTTTGTCCTTCCAAGCATTTTTTTATTTTATGAATGTAAGCAGAAGGTGGGGACAGCACAAATGCCCTAACCATAATGTTAGTCTTAAATGACACCTTTAAGTGTTTATACTTTATTCTATTCTTTATAAAATGGTGTTTTTTTTATTATTCATTGATTTATATGTTTGGTGTCATTTGTCTTGATATACATAACAGTTAGTGAAAAGAGAAGTACAGTAGTTTGATTTACTCCAGATATGTTCAAAAGCTTGAATTTGTTTGTGACTTTTCCGGTAAATATTCTTTATTTCAAACTCTTTTTCCACTCATATCTTGAAAGTTTCTGTTTTTGAGCAAAATGTTCTCAAAATTCTCAATATTATTCGAACACATACAAATGAATTGCTTCATGAGATGACGCGCATCTCGATCATAAGGAAGTGTCTGAAAAGTACGAAAAGCGGCGCAGTAATTATATTGTTGACTGTATGTGAGGCTTTCACTTTAGGAAATTTCACTATTACTGTTAAGACCCCATTTATAACAAAATTACTTTGTGCAAGTTGAATTCACAATTTTGCAACTGGTTGGGTTGGATATGTGAAGCTCATGTGACTCTGCTTTGCAGGTGGGGTGCATGAGGCTTGTGGGAGTGGGTGGAGCAGACCACGTGCTCCCTCACTCAGTGTTACATTGTCCATTGTGTGTAGACCTACTCTACTCTCATCTAATTTTGTAGTTTGTGGATCTGCCAGTACCGTTGACTACTGGTAATACACTGATGTCTAAGAGACCCACTGATACATCTCCTTACCCTTCTATTTAACCAAAAATGAAGTAAAAAGGACCATTTTAACATTAGGAACAAAATTAGAATTACTGTATTGAGGGAAGCTGAAGCAAGTAATGGTGCATCTCATTTTAGTCGTGCATTTGGCCTGGGGGTGAGCACAAGTTGTACCATTAATCCCTTGTGTACGGGGTCCCCTCTGAGCTGAATAAAATCATCTGGCACTAGCCAAATAAAATATCAAAAGTGGCATTCCTCTCAGTGAAAGGGGTTTAGAATTCTGACAAAATTATGAACTTGGTAAAGCACTCAACATCTGATAAGTGCAGAGAGATGTATTCTATATTCCCCATTGGCCAGACGATGACCATCATTCATGCAAAAAAAATTACCATAAATAGGGGGTTGATCTTAATACATCACCATTGTTCAAGTAAAAAATCGTTGACAGGGAAATTGTAAATCAGCAGACACCTGTGCATCAAACATTCAATAAATTGTCTTTAAGTGTAAACAATGCAAATAGCACTGATACGTAGTCGTACACAAAAATTAGTTCCCCGGTGTGAAACTGAGTCATGGAAATGAGTCTCCAAACTGACTTACCCTGACTGTCATTCGGTGCGGTTGTGTTGTTTTACAATATCTCATTTGGGGGTCGATGTGGGAGGAAGCGAACTTTTGGCCCTGACTTTACAGGCACAACTACCACATTACTCCTTTGGGAGGTAGGATACTCTCTAAATATCAAAATGTACATATATCAAAGTATTTCAGAAATAGAATTATAGTTTATTACTAACACTGGTATATGTACAATCTATCATAAATTCTGGTTTAGGAAGAAGTTTTAAAATGCTTTGAGGATATCAAATGAAGGTACTGTACCAGCACTCACCACACGTAATCAACATGAGCAAGAAGTGGTAGGCAGTAACAGCAAATCCAAGTCTATAGACAGCCATATATCCCAAAGCTACCTCACAGTTTTCTCCAGCTCCTATCCATTCACACACTTCATCGTGATCAGGAAACTGAAATTCAAAAGATAGATCTTATTAGTTATTGCTCATATACAGGTAGTGCAGCTTTATGACAGAACTATAGAAATGTTTAACTAATTAATCAATATCAAACATAACAATTCCTGCTGATACTTCCTTGTACCGTACAATTTCTTATTTCACAATGACATGCACAGTGCAATATATTATTTTTCAATGAATTTATGAATATCTAAAGAAAACATTAATAATAACATCCCAAAACACAAAAGTATGTGGATTTAAATTCCAGATACATTGCTCTTCATATTCATATTCCTTAAAACTCCATTAGTGTACAAAGTTACCGCATCATCTCTGTACCATTTCCATAATTGCATCCTGCACACGGAGAGACATCATGAGTGCCATAACACCCACACTCAGCATGAGGAACACTATGTAGACAATTCTTGTTGAAGTAGATTCAAGAACACTGGGACACAGGCGACAACAGAAGCGGCAAGAGGAAGTTCCACACATACAGCCAACCTAAAAAATGACAAAACATCATTATTAAAATAGCTTATTCAAAATTATATCTAGTTTAATGTGGATTCTTTAAAAAAATTCATAAAAGATTAAGAGAAGGGTGCAGCCTTATTCCTTGTTATTTTGTAATAAGATCTTTATTGTTGTGTTTGTTTCACTGCCGAGTAAAACACAAATCCAGGGAGTGAGGAAAAAATGAGTGATCTTCAGAAAATTATTAAAATCTTGACAAAAAGCATCACATTTATGACACCAGGGAGACTACAGAACTAAACTAACAATGACAGTCCTCTTATTTACTCAATACCAAGTCAAGAATTAAGGTTCATTTTTCAAACTGAACACTCAATAAAAAAAGGTTCCTGTCATGTGCAATGTTACTATTTGGTGTAGTCCAAGTTCCCCGGTATATTAAACAGAAAGAACTTACTATGATATGGTGTAATTTTACGTTTTTTGTGGATGTAAGAGCAGCCATCCGTACCGAACGGTTTTTAAGCTTACACTGAGCATCGGTGTTGATCAAGCCAGAGCAGCGGAGTGTTTTGAAATATGTCAATATGATTGGCTGTTTACATCCTGGGATGAGACATCACTGCCGCATTACCACCGAGAAGACAAAGTAGTGCATACCTAGGTGCCTAATTATCTATGAAATGAAGCATTTGCCCAAAAAAATATTTTCATATCAGAACTCACTGATGAAAATAAAAAAATAAAATAAACAGGAACACAAATAACTCGTCCACCAGTCAGTCATCAATAATAACCAAAGTAAGGTAGGTTAGGTAAAGTTAGGTCAGGTTCTAATAGGTTCTGTGCATTCTTGCTTCCATTTTCGTATTTAGTATTATGCAAATAGTGTCTCCAGAAATTCAGGTTCAGTTCCATGAGTTACTTCTGGTGCTGTCTCCTCCACCTTTACCAAATTCTTAAATTGGATCACCTGAAGATTCACAACCACTTTATTTCACCTGGAGATTAACCACCCTTATGTTAACTGTGATGGTAAACCCAACAGCTCATATAACTCTGAAACATATTTTACAACACAAATGGGACTTTTATTGGTATTATTATTGTTTCAGTCATCCAGCAAATTTTAGTAGGTCAGGATTGGTTATGATAGGTTAGGTTAGGATAGGTTAGGTTAGGATAGGTTAGGTTAGGATAGGTTAGGTTAGGTTAGGTTAGGTTACATTTGAGAAGCAGTGCTGTGACCGATTTTTACAGGTTACGTTAGGTTCCAATTAAATGGATCACTGAAACGATATTTTATCCTTTTATTGATACAGTACATTCTATTAAGATTTTGGTATCATTTCACTTGTTGCCGCTACACCATCTCAGGAATTTTACAGTTGCAATCAGTAGTTTTGACAATTATAAGACACTTTTCTTCAATGGCATTTCTGGCGCAAATTATGTATAAACGAGATATTTAACATTTTATTATGTATGTTTGTACATGGTAGTACACACACAAAACATCAAATGTCTGTGAAGGCCCCCAGTTAGGTTAGGGTTTTGTTTTTTCCATTGTTTTCAATATGTTATGAACACTTTTTAATTAATTTTTATTGAAAATCTCTAGATTCTGAGATGAGAGAGGGGGGGGGGGGCTTATCTCAGAAACTATTGATTTGCACCAAAAATAAAGGTCAAATTCATTCATAACACTTCAAAAACTATCATAAAAACATAGTTCAACTTCAATTTTGCATAGTGGCAACAAGTGAAATTTTATCAAGATTTTTTTTCAGTCATTAACTTTAGCCTCAGCATAGGATGATTCTTAAAGTACAGGTGCATATGTCTGCAACATTACTATTGTGCTCTAAGGTGAAGGTTTATGTCTCTTGTCAATATATAACAGAAGCCCACTGTCACTATAATATTCTAGTATACAAAAACAGATTTCATAAACCTCTGTCTGTCAAATATATGATAAATGATGGCTGCAATAAAGTTTTCTTAATTCACTTAACTAATTCAAAAAGGAATCTGTGCTAAAAGGAATTTAATATAACACACCAAGTTTGTTTAATTACAAAAGGTGAAGTAGCAAGAGTAATTAACTTCTTATATTGTATAAATAAATAAGCTAATCATACAGTATACTACATTAAGGTTATATATTAATGAACACACATAACACACACATACATATATATATATATTAAGTGTTAGTACAAGTAACAAGAAATACAATAGGGGGAGATAATGACACTAGAAAGGCCATAAATTAATTACTTCCTCTTAACGTTTAATACCATACCTGGGCTCGACAACATGATCTACCTTCAATATATTCTTCTTCTCCATACATCCCCGACATGATGAAGCTTGGAAATAGCTGTTGTCTTGTATAATTAAGCTAAAAAAAGGCTTAAATATGAGGGAAGACAGTCACCCCCCGGACCCAGGCTGAGACACGGCACATACTCTTTGTTGACACTTGTTATTATTGGGTCATATTGTCGATAAATATTACTTCAAATTTTAACTCAAACTGTATTTAAATTATAATGTTTTAATTAAATATATATATATAATTAAATATGTATGGAAATTTATGAGATAGAAATTATTTTGTATTTTATATCTAGATTTATATGTTAAAATGATAGATTATTTGATGTTGATTTAGTGGGTTTGTTTTTGTTGAGGAGAGAGCTGTGGGAAGGAAAAGGTTAATAAAGTCTTACATTAAAATGGCTCAAGTAAGTATGGTTTTATAGTGACTCAAGGGTTTTATAGTGACTCAAGGACTTTATAGTGACTCAAGGGTTTTATAGTGACTCAAGGACTTTATAGTGACTCAAGGGTTTTATAGTGACTCAAGGACTTTATAGTGACTCAAGGGTTTTATAGTGACTCAAGGACTTTATAGTGACTCAAGGGTTTTATAGTGACTCAAGGACTTTATAGTGACTCAAGGACTTTATAGTGACTCAAGGACTTTATAGTGACTCAAGGACTGTGTAATGAATCTATGGCACCGTGTAATATTTTCTTCTTTGAGGCAAGATAATGGTTCAATATCATCCATAAACTATTATCATTACACAAGTTTTCCCATGTTAATATTTCTTAGAATAAATCAATTACAGTTACGTGACTTTAATCATATGACTTGTAAATAAATGGTAAATTTTTATAAGTGGACAACCGTGAATTTTAACATAGGAAAATCACATTGCTCAACAACCAAAAAGCACCCAAACTAACCTAACCTAACCTAACCTAACCTAATCTAGAGGTTCGTTGGTTGTCTACTTGTAAAAAAAAATACCAGATAAACCAATTGGATAATTATTGAGAGACAGTTCATCAACTGTGTCTCATTTTGAAGGAAAAATCTGTTAGAGGGTTAAAAGCAGTCCAGTGGAAGTATGATTTAGGAACCTTGATGAATGTTTGTCCATGTATGGAATGGTAATTACTCATCAAACACCAGCATGTGATAAAAACAGGTAATTTCTGACAACAGCATTACCACCAGAAGAGGTTTGATTTCGTTCATTTTTTTCACAGATATTCATCATTATGGTAAGTATTTTCAGAGGTGGATACTCCTGGTAGGAGGTGCTGTTCTCAGACATTACCTAGAAATATAACCAAAGGAACCTAAATAACTATTCTCACCATAATCATCAAAAAAATGTACCAGTAAATCACGCGTGTTTGCAGAATAATAGCCTATGAATCTTTAAGTAATACTTGATGACAGTAGACCTTAGTTTTTATATTGGGATGCATCCTTATAGGGGTTGAGTAGAGTACTGTACTGTAATTGCAAAAATCTTGTATCCATTAAATAAGGGTTACGCTCCATTAACCACTGAAACCATCCATTCCAGAAAAGCAGTTTTTACCTCCATACAGTACACTCTATTACATCCCTTAAATAACATCATGTACAATTAAACTTTAAAAGCTAAAGTATTCAGAAGATGAATCTCTTATTAGGCCTTAAATGTTTTCTTCTTCTGCTGGTGTATGGCATTATATATTGTGCTCTTCACCTTAAGAGAGCATTGTAATTTTTTCATTGTGAGTGATTTACTTGTTCCAGGTAAGCTCAAGCACTGGTAGCTCCAGTAAAACTAACAAGATGGCCGACTTTAAAGCTCGTCTTGCCAAGCTGCATAGCAAGCGGGTAAGTTTATTATTGTTAAACTTAATTTTATGTCTTAAAATAATGTATCTATCAGTATCAGATTTGAAGTTTCCACTAATTCTTTAAAAACACTTGTCCAAAATTAAGCTTTACAGTTAATGGAGAATCTTTTTATTATTATTCTGCAGGGTTGCAATGATTCCCCCAGCTTTTTGTTGGTTCCTTTTGACACAAATTAATGTTCAGTATTCATCATGGAGGCTTCTTCATGAGATCACAGCATTTAAATAGGTTGAGGTTGTCTTTATGATTTACCTGTATGTAGTATTTTTATGTATCCATGGACTCTTCAGATGAGGACATAATTGATATGGTCTTATTCTGATTTTTTATTGTTATCAGTACACATTTATACAACATTATATAAGTATTTAACTTTTTTTTACAATGTTTAAGTTTATTCACATATTTTCTAGAATGAAGCTGCAGCCCTAAACCATAAAGAGGTTGTGGAGGAAGACCGTGTAAAGAAAATGCCAAAGAACTATGCAAAGAAACGTGAAAGACTAGAATCTGAGTTTAAAGAGGAACAGAAGCGGGAGGCTGCATTAGCAGAGGTTAGTCACTGATACTTACTTTTTATGGCTGATTGTGAATTAGGCAGTTTGGAAACCCTCTCTTCTACTTGGGATTGGTGAGGAAATCTGCCAGTTCTGCCTGGAAACCAGCCTAGCCAACTCAAATAAAAGGGTGAATGTGCACACTGAGCTTGTGTAATGTCACATGTTCATTAAAACTTCCTGCCCTTCATTATTTGTGAAGGAAACCTGTACTTCTACTCCCCCTTTCCTAATTGTCAATTACAACAGGAAGGAATGATTATCATTAGAAGTACCGTACTGTACGGTAGTTCCAACCAGCAATGTTGGGTCTCCTGATTCTGGACCAATAGCTTAACATGCATATTACAGTATACTTAAGTCTTCTCTGTGTAGGCTCACCCATAAATTTGATAATCAGGATCCCTGTATTTATTTTTATTAGATAAGGTCTTATATTATATACTTTGTCTCATAATGTCACAGATAAATATGTAGTGATGATAAAGATTATCCAGCAAGGAAACAGCCTTTCAGCCTTGTATTTAGCTTCATTCAGATGTTTAATGAGAGCTTACATTAAGCCACTACCATCAGCTCTTCTTTACAACATCAGAAACTGTATTCAATATTTTCTTATGAGTTCAAATGAGGTAATATTTTATTCCTCAGTGTATGGTAATGTACAGGCAAAAAATATCAGATAGGATACCTTACAGTTTGAAGATACTTGAACCATATCTTTGCTTTTTTATAGGGTAAAGATTATGATCGCCAAAAATTGTTGGACGTGGGAGCAGATGAAGCAGAGCGTTGGGAGAGGAGAAAGAAGAAGAAAAATCCTGACCAGGGCTTTTCTACTTATGAAGATGCCACTATCAGGTAAAGACTAAAAAGTACTTTGTAAATCATGAATCATCCACAAAGCTCATAATCATAAATGGAGGATTGAGCCATGAAATTTCAGTTGATGATTGACATTGGAATGGGTGATACTATTTCCCTCCCTCTTCCCAAGGGAATAACTACAGATTCTTTGTAAGATAGTTGGTCTTGGAGAGTAGTGATAGTAGTCATTCCCCCATGAGTCAACATCTGACGTGGTCTCACCAGGTTCCTCATCCATTTCTATGGCATTACCTTGTACATCAGACAAACCATTTCAACTTTTTAGGCCAGATCTAGGATTATGGAAATTTTCCATGCAGCCAACTGAACATGGTTCAGGGGCCAGATAGCAGATAACTTTGTGCATTGTGTCAGACTTTCTACTTGCAGATAATGCTAATCTGGAGAAGTTTTCAAACCTTCCAATACTAGACACAGAACTCGTCATCCCCCACTTTGTACTTATAAAACCATCGCATAAGTTCATCTTTTTCTGCCAAAGGGCAGATGAACATACCCAATCAAGCCCCGGGCTGACAGTGGTAATACAACAGAAACCAAGAAATTTACAAGCTACATTGCCTTGTAATTATGCTAAGCACACTACTAACAAAGCAAAAAATTTATTCCAAAACATAATCCCTTCATTCTGACACTGCAGGCAAGTGATGTTTTTGATCAATGTACAATTCATTTTACACAACTTTTCAACGCCATTGTAGCCCTATTCATTTGTCCTGATATTGAGAATGTGACAAATCATTTTTAGAGAAAAATAAGGGACATTTGTAGCCATAGCAACATAACTTCAATACTTTAAATACTGTTTTTACAATATCCTTCGGCAGGCAGTACAACCGTCTAGTTAAGAATAAGAAGACTGACATGGTTGATTACGAGAGAGAAAAACAGGCCCTTGGGGAAGCTGCATTTTATGGAGAAGACAACACCATTTCCATTGGTTTGCACAAGGACTCAAACGAAGCAATTGATAGCATGGTTGACGACCTGGAGAAACAGTAAGTAGAAATTGTTATCACTCAGTTGTATCTGCTTCACACACACACCTCATGCATTCACTGTTATATATAACAGCATTTCCTTTCTGTTCAGATCATTTGAATAGTTTTATTTTTCTGCAAACTGATCACTGTTCTCTTTGGATTTTTTCGAGCTATATTTAATATGTTCTTAAAATATTTGTATTATTGCTAAAATTCTGGTATATTATCTTTGCTGTGCCTATTAATTACAAAATATCAAGTACTGTACACTTCTTGGACAGACATAGCTGTGCATTTTGTGGCCAAGTATTATATATGTGAGGTATGAAATTCATTTGGTGCCAGTTAAGGAGGAGACATTCAAAACTGTTTGTAGAGTAAGCAGAGCAAACATAAAACAGCATGGAGATATGATCTTGTAAAGGTGATGTGTGCTATTTATACCGAATGATGGTGTGTTGTATACACACTGCCCTAAACAGGCAGTATAATACAAATAGGAGATAAATTAAGGTTAAAGCAAATTACTTTTTTCTTTCAGAATTGCTAAACGAGAGAAATACTCTCGTCGCCGTATATTCGATGATGATGCCGATATTAACTTCATCAATGAGCGCAATATGAAATTCAACAAAAAGTTGGAACGCTTCTATGGTGACTACACTGAAGAAATCAAGCAGAACCTGGAGAGAGGCACAGCAGTGTGAAGTCACATTGTTTTCTGTCCATAAGGGAAATCATTGTGAAATTTGAAGCTATTGGCTGCATAGAGTACAAAGTAAAAAAATGGGTGACATTTTTGAGTCTCCAAAGTTCAAACTATACAGTCTTCTTGCTCCTCTTAATAGTTACTATCAAAACAATGTTTAAAATACATAATGTACACGAATTGTTTGTTGAAATATCTTTATTGTATGTACACGCGCCACAAAAGGTTCTCGAACAGCCGAGTACAACAAATTTCAGACTGAGTACTATGGCTCCTGTAATCTCAGAATGGTTGCTATGCCTGGTGTGAAGTGACACAATATTTTGTAATAATATATGTAGCTTGTCGTTATAGTATTTACAGGTGAAAAGTAGTAATTTAATTTGCAATCAAAATTCTTCAGAGAGCAAGGTTCAGATTTCTCGTTCGTTTTGTCATATTGTATGACTCTTGGAGCATTTGAGAACTTTTTTGTGGCGAGTGTACAATTACCTGTAATATGTATGACTTGGAGTAAGGGTCCCATATCTGAAAGAAATAATCTCCTACAAATTCACCTAAACTCAGGTATGGGTGATGTGCCAGCAGCCATTATGAAGTAGACTGTGTGTGCTAGATCCTGATGTAAGGGAAAGAAGGTGAAAGTTCTAGCTTGAAACACTGATATTCAGTAGTGTGTTTCAGGGGATATATATTTCTTGTTTTTTTATTAATATTTCCTCTATGTTAGATATTCAGGGGTGTCAATAAATAATGCATGATAATAAAAACAAATCCACCCAAGAGCTATATTTAACCCTGACTTCTGATAGGGTGATGGTGAGCCAGTCAGAGTTTTATCATTGGCCTCCACTCTTGATCTAAGGACATTTGACTACTGTAGATATTTTCATCAATTTGTTCACTTTACAGTTTTAAGTCTATCAAGGTGACAAACATCATTTACTAGGACATGTTGTCATTGGAATCTTTGTCAACATATACAGTCAGTGACAAAAGTACTGTCAGTCTTCCACCCCACACATGAACCTGTGAATCTGAGACCCAACAATGTGTGATGTCTCTGATTCACAAGTTCATCGAGTCTTGTGGATCATGGATGAGACTGAGGACTTTTTTCTTTATCTGTACTTGCAGGCTGACGTTTGTATTTGTGACTGTAGCAGTGACATACTTTATAATATGGTAATTACTTTTGATATTAATCACACAACTGGGTCATGTAATTTTAGATTTAAAAAAAAATAGTTTGTTTTCATTTTATATATACCCTGTACTGTACAGTATTAGATCATATTTTCCCGTTCATATATGTTCATATTTTTATTTTTTGGTGCACATGAGAGTAAATGAGCAAGAATTTAGTGTATTGTATACATTTGCATGTGTGTGTTTATATATTGGTTTAAGTAATATAATGTCAGACTAATGATTCTAAATAACCTCCTCTTGTGTCATCATTGTCATCAAATTAAGACAATTTATTTATTATGCATTCCTTGCATAATATTCATCCCACATACTGTTTTCAGTCAACAGTTTTGTTGTTTTCATTTGCTTATTCTTGCATTGAGGAGTCTATGCTTCACATTTGGACACTCGTGTTGACTCCACTATTCCCCTGCACATCCCCAACTTTGCCTTCATTGACTGTGTTCTATCAATATATATATTAACCGATTCACTCTGAAGTTCACTGTTCATTTCATGTGTTGACACCAACTCAGAGATATAAGTAACAGTACAGGGGTACTACAGGTACAGTATATATGAAACACCACTTCCTTCATTCAAGCCAACATTTAAATTTCCCAGCCTTCCTTCAGTTTATTTCCATTACTTTAGTTTTAATCACATTCTCAATCAAGTTTCTCCTCATGCACATGGAGGACCTCCAAACTCATTCACGTACATACGTAACCTTTCTTCTGAATCGCCAACTTGAGCAGCGTCATCTACAATCAACATCCAACTTGTCTTCCATTTACAGTACAGTACGTCCTACATCATTATTCACCAAACCTGTATCTCCCTGTTACTACCTCATCCATAAAAATCTGGAACAATGGCAACATAACACATCCTTTCTTGATATTCTGCTTTCACCTAAAATTATTTTCTGCCTTCTGTACAAACTAACACATGCTTTACTTCCCCTGTAAGAACTTTGGGCAGCATTCACCAGTTTCCCATATACTCACACCTTGTATTTTTTTTTAGTACCTGTACCTCCCATAACTATACTCTTTTTTTTTTTTTTTGCATTCACAAGTGCCATCAACTAATTTTTCCTCCAAATTTTAGTTTCACTTGCATTCTTTTCTTGATCCACACATCTTCATTTTAATTCTGCTACAGTATTCTCAGTGATGACTTGACCTTAATTTTCCCTCTTGTACTTAATGGACTTAGTTTGGTATAATTTTCACACACACTTAGTTTTCACACTTTTCTTAGAGGAACTATATGTTCTTCCACCTGGGCACAAGTCACTGACCCCCATTGGGGCCTGGGAGGCGAAAATATAATAATAATAATAATACATAGGTCTAGGTCGTGTTTCTCACTTTTTATCTTTTTTCATTCTTGTATTTATATTTATTATTTTAATACAGTTATTATTATAAATTTTATTATTATTTTATTTTGGTGTATTTTTAATTAAAAATTTTATTTACTATGAATAATTATTATTAGTATTATTACAATTAGTATTTCTATTCATTTTCGCCCCGATGTGGGTCAGTGATCTATGCCTGGGTGGGCTAATCCCGGTTTAAATAAAAAAAAATTCGGTTTTCGGAATTTCGGATAAAGGGTTGTCAACCTGTATATAGATATACTTTTTGAAGGGTTTGCAAATAAAATCATAAAATTGTCATCATTACTGTACTGTATAATACATTTCTTCGTATTTACTGTAGTAAAATGTTAATTTGTAAACAATGACATGTTGGTGGTTTCCATGTGAATGAAAAGTGAAAAGTAATCCCATGGGCCTGACAATCCAGTGAGCTTTAGGTACATAATTATAGGTATCTTAATTTTTGTCAACTGGTGTGTGTGTGATGTTAGTGGGGTAATAACGTGATAAATGCAACATTTATATATTGAAGCTCTGGGAAAATGACCAAGGGTTATTTATACAGTTTATTTACACTGTACACATTAGGGTGTGAAAGCTGCTTGACGTAAATTATTAAACACGTCAGAATATGTTTTATGCTTAATAATTATACATAAATATAGGAAAGCTGTAGTGTGAAGTAACTTCACATTTTAAATACATATTAAAAATATAAAATCTTGGAACTTTTATAAAATATAGCATAAAATAATTCATATTTTAACTTTAAAAATCAAACCGCACATTGTCATAGCATAAAATAATCCACATTTTAACTTTAAAAATCAAATCATACATTGTCGCTAACTACAAGAACAGACTTTAAAACTATGAGAATGAGAATTGAGGAATGCTTCAAACACGCAGTTCATAAATGATTACAAACGCCCATGCCTATTCGCAAAACAATATCTTTAAAAATTGTATTATTTACTTATTATGGGCAACATCGTAATAAATTGTCGCTAATATTAAATTACATAAATTACCTTCATCTTTCTGAAGTAAGCCTAACATGGCGGTTGCCAACAGATGCTAGATATTTTTGCTGGGGATGATTCTAAGCAAAAATAGCAGTTCTATAACAGGTCACAATATCTTTATGTTAACGTAAGTACAAATAACTTTAATGTATTCATTGGGTTGGATAAGTCTAGGGAATATAATCACATAACACTTTTGTAATGCTACATTCTTGAGTGTATATAACATGTTTGTGTAAAGATATGGATAAAGTTGAGTTCATTGGCATCTAAATTTATTAAGTCAGTCATAAACTGACTGCTGGCTAGCTTGATCTGGATGACTTTGAAAACCGGATCATTTAAGGCGGGTAAAATCTGCAGCACGCTTGGGTGTTTTGGAGCGCTGCCAGCCCCGCCCGCGTTCGGTCCTCTGCCTGAATCACCCTGACCTTGGCGTCGACCCGCAAACACCTACGTCAACAATGCCTTGTTAACAGGTTTTCGGTTAATAAAAAAAATACGAATCTGACCAATAATGATTCACCGTAGGCGTACTGTATGAAACTACAAATTTTACAACTTTTCGCGTAAACCTTTATTATAAAATATTGCAGCGAGGCTAATGCATATCTCAACTGTAATAAAATGTGAAATAAAGCTGGAACTTCAAGTAAAGGAACAAAGAATCCAATTGAAGATATTAATGATGTTACCCCCGCCGGCCAACTATTAGCATTTACATACAGTACATGGTGAATTTTGAGAAAATATGATAATGAGGTTTTAAGAAAATTTTACAATTTACACGGCAATTTGATAAACAAATACATCACTTCATATGAGTGGCCTGAAGGATGTTGCAAAAAGACCTTGCAGTTAGCAGCTTCAATCATAACGTATTGTATGTGCAACATTCTCTAGTGGGAAACACTGCACGACCCAAGTGGTATGATAGGAATTTACCTTTGTGGTGAGCAGCTTCATTTTTTTTCATCGTAACATCGTTAGGATACAAATGCTGAATGAATTAACCACCTCAATATAACTATTCCCCATTTATAGCAGCATATTAATTTTTGACAAAAACCAACTGGAAAAACAAGAGGCTGGGTAGAGACACTTGCAGAGACGAGGTGACGGAGGCAGCCTGGCGGGTGCTCACAGGTAGCATCATACAGCTCCCTCCGTCCAGCATCATAACGCAGGGTACGCAGCAGCAAATATAAGCTCTATATCACCTATATAAGGCCAATTTCTGCCAGCGTAACAGAGAACACCAGGCGTTGGGAATTATGGGTAAGAGAGTATATCTTAAGGCTAGTTAAGTCTGACTATGATAAGATTTACTAATAATTATCGTCAAATGTCTTTCGAAAGATGAACACAATTTTTTAACTACGACACACTGATGACACAAGGTTTCCTTTTTCTAATTACAGCTTCCCATCAGTTAATAAAATGTATATACAAGTTGTACCGTGGACAAGTTCACAGCAAATTTCCATCACATTTATGTCACTGTCATGGTTCATCATCAATAGTCTTTAAACAGGACGAATAACCACTAATACCACCTTCAGAGAGTGGCGAGTACTAACCTTTATTCTCTTGGTCACTGTCCACCATTCTGTAATGATTAATGACGTTCAAAACAGTTCCTCATTGAAATTAAATAAGTGTCCCGTCGAGGTGTAACGTTAGCGTCCTTGACACACAGGGGCACTCCTACGTCTCTTCCGTAACATAAGTTTCCTGGGACTCCCCCAAGAGGTGTGGCACACGTCACAGGCAAGAGGCTCGATGTTCAGATCACAAGAGCGGGATAACCCCAATACTATATGCTTGTCTTCTCCACTTATGATCCTTGGCTCAACACTGTACCATATTCACGACTTCTCTGCACTACACGACCATAACACTGACACCATCAATGGTCTACTTCACTCGAGCACTGTCAACTAACTACACTGCACCACAATTGCACCATGTAATAGTTCTGCACTGGCACTAGCGTGAGTACTTAGCTACAGGAATATATATTGGCACGTTAATAATGGGGAGGTCCAGCCACGTACAGTACATGGCTGTCGGTCAGTCCCCAGTGACTCTCAACTCGAGGTCACCAACATTAAGGAAAACGACAATTTTTAACATCGTTTTATCCTTCGAACGAGTGGTAAGGGGGAGTAGTCCTCCTATTCCTTGGTGTCAGGAGTGTCCTTAGGGAGCTCCACCACCGTATGGGGCTGAAGGGGAGGTGGGATGTTCTTTACCTTGGAGAACGCCTGGAGGGAAAAGAATCTTGCTTTGTCGCAGGCGTCAACTGTGGTCACGTGTTGGAAATTGCAGGGGGAAGAAATGTCTGTTTTCTTTGGGGCTTTGTACTTGGGGACTTTTTCTTTCGTCTTATTCTTCTTCTTGCCAGGACCTGAGAGAGAGATGTTGGCCGGGTCGGCTGTAAGACGCTCAATATGGCTGTGGAATTCGCAGGCAGCGCGTCCATCGTTGAAAGAGAAACCCATACGGCGGCGGTGATCCGACGAGAGGTATAGTGTGTGGAACTGTGGCTCTTGGGCGCGATATGACGTTAGGTTGTCCACGATATCTCTCCAGAGAGCAAAGCCCGTTCCCTTTTCTGCCAGGATGAGCTGGAGACGCCGTTTGTCGCGTGAGCGCGTATCCCCCTGATCCAACAGTAGGATGGGCACACCTGTGTACTTGAGTTCCCAGGTGCCGTGTGTAGCACCAGCTCCACCCTCGATGTATAGGTTGGCCATCGTGCGACACACCCACAATTGTGTCTTGTGTCCGCGGAAGAAGGTCTCGATCCGCGAAACGTCCTCGTCTGTGACCGCCAGGGGGTCTTCAACTTCTTCACGACGGTCCGTCAGAGCTCTCAACGAGTCATACTTCTCGTTAATGCGTCGCACCGCCTCCGCCTGAAACAAAAACGCATTTAGTTAACACCACAGATTACACTCACCGTGATTTAAATACACACAATGAACAACAAAGTAAGGTAAACAAACAAAGTAACATTTAAATACAAGAATCCTTTGAGCTTGCAATTTCTTCCATCGCCTATAGTACAATTATATAACAACCCGAACACGTAATAACCAACCTCTTTGGCAGCAGCTACTTTGCGGATATCAATGGCGGAGGAATAAATGGGTTCTTTGGCCTCCTTGGGGGCGTGGTCAACCTCCTCCTCGTCCTCCGCAGCCTGGTATACAAACAAGTGAGGTGTGGAGGCGTAATGAGGCACGTGCCTGGCTACGCCTACCTCGTTCAGTGTGGAGCCACCTCTTACACCGCCCATCGTCATGCTGTTCCTGTGTGTGTCGCTGCTGCACTCGCCGCACCGGCCGGAGCACTCGTGGCTCCCCTGGCACATCCTACAGCTGGGAGTCCTCCTGTCACCCTCCACCCCTGCCTCTCCTCCTACTGGGGCTGCCACTGTACCCTCCTGCCTGCCAACCAACACACTGGCGCACCTTCACACTCCTCCCAAGTCAACACACCGAGAATATCAGGTTTTGTACTGGTGCGGCTTTTATTTATTCATACTGGCAGGAGATGACACTACCGATTCACTGGTCTTACAACACACAAGTCTGAGGTCTTCACTGTCCTCCCTTTGAGTCTTTTAATGATATTCAGCTTCACAGCACCGATACACTAATACACACTAAAGGTTCACTAAATTTCCTCCACTAGTAGGGTTCCATTAATGACAGTTCTTGTTGATAAGACAGTTGTCGCATTAGTCAACTTGTACCGGCGTCCGTTCCTGATGCCCGTTATCTTCACACTGCCCGGTGTGTATCCTCTCAGACGCGGCGAGATGCTCACTATCCCGATGGCTCGCTATCAATGAAAGCAAAGCCAAGTCCCCGCGACGTGTTACCCCGGTGACGTCACTGACCCTTAGCCAGTAAGCGGGTCCCTCACTTTCCAGATCCAACTGCGTCACTCCTTAATTAAGCCAATGGGTGGCCCGGAATCTGACATCATACAGCTTCGGTCCAATGATTGGTGGAAGATGTCTACGTCACAACTGGAGAGCCAATGGCAGCCTGTAAAGAGAAGAGAGCGTCATGAGTCAGAGCGTAAACATAGTAGGTGAATAGTATGCCCTCAAGTCCCAGGTAGGCTTCGGTGCACGACATGTCCATAACTACAATTCATGGAAGATGAGTCACCACACACCCACGAACTACTAAACTACGGGAAACGAGAGTTACTATGATATATTTTCCCTTTCGGGTAAAAGATTCAGTACTTTACCTTCCCAATTCTAAACTTTATGTATCTGTAAATAAAAATATTTAACTAAAGTTACTCTCACTTTCGTTTACATGTTACAGGTTCAACTTAATACAAACTATACACTCCCACTCAAAGAAAAACTACATTTGAAATACAACAGGCCTGTACTTGGTTTAGCATGAAGAAAGCTATATAACTATAGGTAGGTAATATAAAGACATTCTGTATAACTCCTATAAATTACATTAGCGTGCACATAATAATCCTATAGCAACACCATCTACCTGCAACACAACACAACACTCCACGACCCGCCTGGATGGTGACGTCATAGATGAACTATGTGGAGGCTGCTGCGTACATATTAACCTATTGTCGAAATCACAGCAACAACATATTACATTACTACGACACCATAAATATAGAACAATGTTTTTATCTTAATTATAATACTGTATGGTAATTTTTAACGTTACATTACAAATAATACCACATTGTTTTAAGTTTGTTACCACTACGAATGAAAATATTGTACTAGATTCTAATAAATCTTTTTAATTACATTTACCCCTGAAGGAGTGTAGTCATTATTTTTATATTTGTTTTGTATTTTTGACTGAATCTGTGTCTTTCTACAAACTGGAATGCCATAGTGAGTTACACCACGATAGCGAAATGTTATAAAGATTTGAAACAGATAAAATAGTTGTGAGTCATTTCTTAAACAATGGCCGTGTGTTGTGGAAAGGATAAGTGTTATGGAAAGGAGATAAATATTGTGGAAGTGATATTACGTAACGTGTGAGATGCAAACGAGAAAAATATTAAAAGCCAAATTAAGACGAAACAATACTAAGCTTACGATAAACAAGAGAGAGCCAATATGTACCACCAGTCTCTCCTGTTATGTGTGTAAGGGGAAAGATCCGTTCCAATGCTGGCAAGTCGAGGTTGAACTATTGTTACGTCGATTGAAGGAATGTCCGCAGTTATACATCTAAGGGGGGAGGGATGTGGGCGAGATGTGAGGTGAGGGGGTGAGAGGAGGTAAAGGGGTGAGAGGAGGTGAGGGGGTGAGAGGAGGTAAAGGAATGGAGATGTGGGTGACAGACGAGGTAATGGAAGTGGGGGGGTCAAATGAAGTCATCTGTGGAGCAAAGAAAGGTACTATACACTAACCGTTAAAGCACACCTCTTTAACTAATCACAGTAAGACACTAACTAATTAAATAGTCGTGGCGAGGAGAGGAAATGTATGTGGCATTACTCAACTACTGACAATACATTAAAACAAGCACTGCACCTGGATAATTGGCTGACGTCAAACAACACGAGCGGTACAAAGGTTTCAAGACAAAACACTACAATAGTTCAGGTTAAAACTAACATATACAACATTAACATAAGATAACACCACAGAACTCTACAACAGTCAAGATTAACACTAATACATTTACTAGGATAATACAATACACTAATGCTATTAAAGTTAACCCCATAATACACTCAAACATACACTATACAATGTATACTACAATCTCAAACTAAAATTCAAGCGAAATCCTACTTGTCCTCGTCATTTCAAAACACAACATGAATGATCGAAAGAAATGTACCTCACTCGAATTCTGACACATTAAAAAGAATTGTACAAAAATAAATTAACATTTTTAATATTAAAATAAATTACGCACTAGACAAAATAAAATAAATTAGAAGTTCCCACAAAAAATAATGTTTCTGACAAAACTTCTTGTGTTAGCCATCGACGAAGCAGTAAATATTTTGGGTTAAGTGATCGTCAACGAGTATATATAATGTTTATGCATGGACGATAGCACGATGGAGTTACGGTAATATTAAGAGGTTGGTGCGTAAGGTCCATTAAAAACACATTCGTTGTTCTGGTTCATTGCTATGCACGGCCAGGGGTTTAAAGCTGATATTTGGCATGTTTATGTAAATAGCTTCAAGAACACTCACGAACAGCTAAACTGGGCACTCCTATGACCAGTGTTTTTAAAAGGCGGCTAAAATTTGGTGTATTTTTTTTAATATGTTAACTTAATTCTGGCCAAGGATGGAGAAAGGTGATGAACTGCCTCTCTATTCTACTATAGTGCCTTCTGCATTAGTGTGTGTGTGTGTGTGAGATGGTTATGTAAGAGAAGATATATAGCCTTGGGGGTAAAAAAAATTCAAATAAAAAAATAACAAAAACTGGGCAACGTCAGGTATCCCAGGTAGTATTGTATTAACATAACAATAGTGGTATATAACAGTGGTATATCTAAAGAACTTCCCAGGATTCAGAAAAAAAAAGTTATGGTGTTGGTCTGAACGTGAGGAAGGTTTTGGGTGAATACAATACTGGTAGTCCCCAGATTAAGGTGTGGTACTTGCACTAGGAAGCTTGAGCCTATGTCGTTCTCAGGACCTCTCACTCACTCCCTACCCCCTAATGGTCCCGGACCCAGGGTTTGACAAGCCGCCTCAGATGTTTCAGTCATGAGCTTTGTTTCACTGAGTTTAGTTGACGTTCAAAATATAATCTTTCCATTGCCAATTGGGCCATAAATCTGTATATATCTCAAGTCGTTCCCTAGAATACGACTGTTTTATATTTTTGCTTACGTTTAAGAATCAAAGTTATGGGAATTTTACAGATATTATATCCCAAATTTTCCCCAAGAATGGTTACAGTGATGGAGGGTGACTCAATGTACTGTACCTTAGCGAACCGACATCAATTACCCGACCTTCGCCACACCACCAAATACGTCGCCTCAGAGGTGGAGGAGCTTCACTAAACTACCCAGGATTGTAAGTTAAGTCCCTTTACAACACTTAGCATATATAAAAGAACATTAGGAACACGTGAAGATATACGCCCCCTATTTTAGCTTATTTCACCTGATTTTTAAACATCAAAACGCTACCTGGAGGGGTTAGGTTAGGTTTCTCTCTGAACACATGACAAAATACCCAAAGCCTCTACTTCTATGAGAACAGTTATGAAATATTATGAAGTGCTGCAGATACTGAATAATGTGTATCGTTCAACATATTCACTTTTTCATCATACTAATACACTGTTGATTTTGATTAAAGACAATAGTATACCATTATGACCAGGTGTATACTCTAACCAACACAGTTTTCTTGGAGGTTAAGACTTCAGGATGTAAACAAACAAATCCGTGACCTTTAGGTGTGGTGTTCATGATTCAATCCAGACCCACACACCATACCTCTCACCTCACCCACACTATACCTCACCCTACACCTCCACATAACCTTAAAGTAACAACGCTCAAGCCTGACCTTCACAATGCACTCTGACTGATCCTTAAGGCACCTCAAAGGTCACTGATATCAACACTCCGGATGCCACACGCCAATAGCCAGCCGCGGGCGCTTGAAATCACTGCCGGACGCGGGTACTGGTGACGTCACTGGCGCTCGTGTGGGGGTATTGCGTCACAGATCGAGTGTTATCCTGTACTAGAGAGGTTTATTGATATCCCGATTGTTTCCTATCATGGTAAAACGCCATTTAATATCATGCAATTCTGGGATTCCATGTAAATCTAAAGTGTAAGAGGGTACTTAAAATAATAGTAAAAAAAACGTATTCAAATAAACTATGAATTATGAAAACTTGTGGAAATTAAAAAAAAAAAGATACAAAAAAAATAATTAAAAACTCCCTCATTGACGATATTAATTATGTGAAATTATTCCTTTAGCATTGAAGACTAACACACGGGACTATCCTGGATGACACAGGACTCGACTTTCATTTCCTTCCGGTACAACACAAAATATCTTACAAGACACTGATAAGAAGAGTTAGTCCATCCTGGTAATAAAACTACACCACACGAGTTACCCTCACTGGCACTAGTAGAAGAAGTTATTGTTTCCCAGTTTACCCTGTCACTGTGGGTAATAACGAACACTAAGAATACAAGGCGAGGTATTATCCTACGTAGAACGACTGGTACTAGGAAGACCTTATCCAACCTGGAACTATAGACATAAACAAAAGATATCTTTGTTTTCATTCATACATGTATTTTCCAGGAGTGATGTAGGATGTGTGTACTAAAGATTTTCTATCTAAGGGTTTTTCCACCAAAGGGCTGTTCCATCTAAGGGTTGTTTCACTGAAGGGTTGTTTTATCTAAGGGCTGTTCCACCTAAGGGTTGTTGTATCTAAGGGCTGTTCCATCTAAGGGTTGTTTCACTTAAGGGTTGTTCTATCTAAGGGTTGTTCTATCTAAGGGTTGTTCGATCTAAGGTCTGTTCTACCTAAAGGTTGTTTCACTTAAGGGCTGTTCCATCTAAGGGTTGTTTCACTTAAGGGTTGTTCTATCTTAGGGTTGTTCTATCTAAGGGTTGTTCGATCTAAGGTCTGTTCTACCTAAGGGTTGTTGAATCTAAGGGTCGACCCATCAGGGCACCCGATACCGAACTACGAATAATATATATCATGAAAAAATATACATCTCCAAGTTCCATATTTTTCATTAATAAATCCCATACACAATGACACTAACACCACACAAGTCTTATTACTCAAAAGTCCACCAGACTCTTTCTCGTGTCCCAGGTTCTACCAGTGGATATTTTTGGTTTCGAAGATGGATACTGTCGAGAGAGAGAAGTGGATATACAGCACGGGTAGTTAACAGATCTTGACGTTATGTAATACTGTACCCCTGTAACGATAAGCTACAGAGAAGTTACACCAAATGAACAACACATTCGCCGCTTTCTGCCCCCGAGTGATGCTGTTATCTCA